CAAGAAATAGGCAATGTTTTATTCAAAGTAGAAGTATTAGCCATTAATGCATGAGAAGACATAAAGAAGTAGAGACCCTTTGATTCTTTACCAATGCCCAGTATTTTGCAATTGGAGAAGCCCTGAAATATGCAGAAATCAGGATACAAACTAACAAAGCAAGACAAGTCTTTGGTGAGCTTTGATATAGAAATCAAATTAAACTTGAAATCTGGCACAAATAATACATTAGTCAGTTTCTGATCTGGACCAATGTTACAAGATCCAATATGTGTTATGGTTGAATGATGTCCATTAGGTAGTCTAACTATGGATGGAGAAACTGTCCCCATCAATTTGTTCAAAGTGTTTAAAGAAGCTGTCATGTGGTCACTAGCACCTGTATCTAATATCCAGCAGACTCCATGATCTAAGGATGAAAAATAAGAGTGAATACCTGCCATAGTGACATGTGCATCATTTGGGGGTAATAAGGGTTCCTTTTGAAGCAATTTCAGTAGCTCTGCATACTGCTCTTTAGAAAAGATTGGGGCTGCATGAGTACTATTTGGAGTGGCTACAAAACTACTGTGATCAGATTATTCAGTAGTGGTAACATTATTTGTTAAGGATTGAGTATCTTCTGGTGAATTTAAAATCAGCAGGATAGCCAATGAGTCTATAACAATTATCCTTTTTGTGTCCCTTCACATGACAATGTTCACAAGTTATATTCCAATTCTTTTTAGGCTTAGCTGATTGTTGGTTTGATGATGAATAAAGTACTGTCGGTGCAGATGAGGATTCAACAATAGCAGCAGTGGTTAAATTTCTCTGGCTTTCTTTAGTAACGAGCATAGAATAGGCTAGGTGATGGTAATGGTTGCATCATGAGAATTTGGCTTCTAGCATGCAAGTAAGATTCATTTAATCCAATCAAGAATTGGAGTAACTTTTGATTCTGCATGTGATCTACATAAACCTTTGACATAGAACACTCACATGAAGGAAATTGGACAATAGACGAATATTCATCCCATAACATTTTCAATTTAGAGAAATAAGTGGAAATAGATGAAGTTCCTTGCACTAAGGTGACAATTTCTCTATACAACTGGAAAACTCTAGATCCATTCACTTTATCAAATCTTTCTTTTAAATCTTTCCATACCGAATGTGCACTTGAAGCATAAACGATGCCACTTAAAAGTTCTTTAGTAACTGAATTCATGATCCAGGAAAGAACTATAGCATTACACCTATCCCACTGATTGTGCAAGCTAACTGGAAAACTATCCTTTGTGCAAGTTCCATCAATAAATCCAATCTTATTTTTGGCTAATAGTGATATTCTCATAGATCTACTCCATAACGAGTAATTATCTACACCAATCAATTGAAAAGAAACAAGAACAACACCTGGAGTATCAAAAGGACGTAGGTAAAGTTGATGACTAAAATCGATTGATGAACTTGATTGATCATTTCCATTATTCATAGAAGACTGCATTTCTCCATCTGCACTAATAGCTGCCATTTTGGAAGAAGGAAGATGATAACTTCTTGATCAAAGAAAATGAGACCAGAAAACAATATTCTAGTGAACGAAATCCAGAAGAGAAAAAGCTGACGAAACAGAAAAACAATGTAGAAGAAACTGATGAACAGTTTGAAAATTATTTATGAACAGAGTGAAGTTTTCTACGAATTTTCAGAATCTTCAAGCCCTGCAATCGTTGCTCTGATACCATGTTAATTTGGGGGCAAGCAAAGTGAAAAGAAAGAATTCTCTTATTGATTGAAGAGTCTGTTACATTGTTGTACATACAAAAAATAAGTTTATAACTGTCAACTAACTACTTCAACTAATTACAGCTCAGCATAACAGATTCCTAACTAACTAAGCTACCTCCCGTATACCAACTTGAATCTTAACACATGGTAATCAAGTAATATAAGATGACATAACCTCGGTAATCTTAGATTACCTCTAACCAAATGCCCCTTTAGGGTTATCCAATTTTTCGGGAATTTCGCTTTTGAAATTTTTTATTTCTAGCTTTGGGGATTAGTACCGTGGCCCACATGGTACATGTCATAGACTTTGTACCTCTGACTTTATTGTATAACAATATATCGGGCGGATAAGATTAGTATAAGTTTCATGTAACAACTACTTTCTTTCTACTAGATTCATAAAATAGATTAATAAAAAGTATTTATCAAACAGTTGGGCCCAAAGATTTTTCTTTACTTAATAATTACAATCTTTACAAAACATAACATCATGTGTACAAAGACTTTCAAAAATGAAAACAGTGGACAGTGCAGCCAAGTCTCCCCGCTTGCCGACGTCCATCCGACCAGGTCCTCACCTATTTCCTGTACAACAAAGAAAACAACGGAGTGAGCACAAAGATGCCCAGTAAGTAAAAATCTCTTACTCTATCATCCCCGTGTATTACTCCTTAATTCTCTTGTACTCTTATCACTTTTCTAATTCAAATTCTCATTTTTCTTTCTTTTCTTTTCTTTCTATTCATTCTCAATCCGGTTTCTCATAGCGGAGACCGCTCTCTCTCATAGCGGTTCACATGCATTCCGCTCTCTCATGGCGGAGACCGCTCTTTCTCATAACGGTTTACATGTATTCCGCTCTCTCAGGCGGAGACCGCTCTCTCTCATAACGGTTTACATGAGGGTAACTCCATACTCACGTTCCCCACCACTCAATCTATTTTCTTTTCTTTTCTGTAGCACTTAATAATCATTTTATCCTCTAGTGCTAGTTCTTTCTTTCTCTTTACTCTAAGAGAGTTGGTTCTCTTCTTTATCTCTATTCATAGAGTATTTCTTTCTCATTTCTCATTTTTCTTTCTCATTCTCATATTTATTTCTCATGTGATTACTCAATTAAACATATGGGTATGGATGGCTTATGCCTAAAATCTTTCTTATATGCATTCATGACATGCAAATATGCTATGTTGCATAAAGTAAGGTTCTTTACTTCTACTCATGCTTCTTTTGAACATTTCATCAAACATAATGTGTGCATACATAAACTCTACTCCAACTTTAATTATACTTCTTTTCTAATCATCCAAATAGGAGTTCAACTCCTTTAAAACATCACACAACCTGCAAGAACATACTTCAAATATTCCTCTCAAATTCTTCTAATTCTATCTACACTTCTACCCAACTTTAACAACACAAGCCACCCTTCTCATGGTAGAAATCCTCTCATATAAAAACATTGAATTCATCAACTCATTTCAAACATAGAAATTCAAGCATCAAGCACATATCTAAATCTATACACATCATTCAATCAAGTAAATCACAACTTAGGTGAATTTACTTACCTTGGACACAAGTAGAATCCACTAAACCTCTCTACTTTTGATGGCTTGATGCTTTCTCTTTACCTTCAATACACAACTTAATAAGGATCCCACTCTTTCAAAAATAAAAATTACTTCTAGAGTAAGGATTCTCACCTTTTTGTGCTTAGGCTTAACTTGTAACAAACCTAGTCAAAGCTCTTCAAAGATCCTTGGAAATTTGAATGAAAATTTGAGAGAAATAAAGGATGAAAGAGGGGGTGGTGAAGAAGCAAAAAGAAAAGGTTTCTAAAGCTAACCCTTAATTCACATAATTTCTCCACTCTTTCCCAAAAATACCCTTACTCTTTCTTTGAAATTCCATCTAAGCATTTCATTCTTTGCAAACACAACCCCAAACAAACTATCTCTACGCAATTTCCTTCATTTCACTCCCCACTTTTCCTACTAAAAAGGGGTAGAAAGGTCATTGAGTCTCAAAAGGAAGAATTCTCAAAAACTCAAGGGGGACATTCAGTTGGGTCTTCGCCGCGGCGAAGCTATTTTGTTCGCCCCGGCGAAGTCTCACAGAAACTACCAGGTTTGTAGCACCTTCTTATCGTCGTGGCGACGATTCTTCTTCGCCCCGCGAAGACTGTAACCCTAAAATTTCGCCAAGTCTTACAAATTTTCAGGAAAATCACCCAAACAAACCAGAACACCTTTTCATCCAAGGCTAACCAAACAATAACACGACCTACAGACTCGAATGAGGGTAAATCAATAAACATTCACCATTCATCAAATCTTAACTACGTACCTCAAGTGGGGTGTTAACATTCTCCCCTCCTTAAAAGAATTTCGTCCCCGAAATTCAGACAAACAACTCCGGGTACGACTTTGCATGTCTTGCTCTGTCTCCCAAGTCGCTTCTTCAACCTTATGGTTTCTCCAAAGGACTTTCACTAAAGGAATACTCTATTCCGGAGCTCTTTAATCTTCCGGTCCAAAATCTGAACTGGACGCTCCTCTTACACGAGATTCTCTCCACAATTACGTCCTCTGTATGCAACACATGGGAGGGATCACTTATATATTTCCGTAACATCGAGATATGGAAAACATCATGCACTTTGTTCATGCTAGGTGGTAGTGCGAACCTGTAGGCTACCTTCCCACTCGTTGCAACACTTCAAATGGACCAACAAATCTCGGCGCTAGCTTTCCTCTATTTCCAACCGCATCACCCGCTTAAAGGGGGAAACTTTCAAGAAGACTTTATCACCCACTTTGAATTCAACTTTTTTCTCTTCAATCGGCATAACTTTTCTGTCTATCTTGGGCTTATTGCTTTCTACTTCTAATCAGCTTCACATCTTCAATCAGTTTTTGAGTCATCTCTGGCCCAATAGCTAAATTCAACTCATCTTTCTCACCTATCTCATCCCAATGTAGTGGAGACCTACATTGTCTACCATACAAGGCCTCATACGATGCCATCTTAATTGTTGACTAATAACTATTATTGTAAGCAAACTCCACTAAGGGCAGCATCTCATGCCAAGATACTCTATAATCCATACAGCAAACTCGCAACATATCCTCAACACTTGATTTGTTCTCTCTGTTTGTCCATCAGTTTGAGGATGGTAAGCTGTGCTAAAAGCCAATCTAGTACCCAAGTTCCTCTGTAACTCATCCAGAAGGCGGAGACAAATCTAGAATCTCTGTCTGGACTATTGTCTTGGGTACCCCATGAAGTTTCACTATCTCTCTGATGTAAATCTGGGCAAGCTGATCTGAAGTAGTGCTCTCTTTCACCGAAAGGAAATGGGCTGACTTTGTCAATCTATCCATAATCACCCAAATGGCATTAAAACCTCTCTGAACTCTAGGAGACCTACAATAAAATCCATCGAAATACTCTCCCATTTCCACTCAGGAATACTAAGTGGTTGAAGCAATCCTGATGGCCGTTGGTGTTCTGCTTTGACTTGTTGACAAACCAGGCATTTAGCCACAACTCCGCAATATCATTCTTCATACCTGGCCACCATAGCCTTTCTTTAGATCTTGATACACTTGGTTGCTCCTGGATGAGCAGTGTAGGGTGTGTCATGAGCCTCCATAAGAATTCTCTCTCTCAACTCCTTATCCTGAGGAATCACAACCGATTCCTGAAACGAAGAACACCCTCTACCAGATGGAACTCTGGTCTCTCATTCTGATGCACTCTTTGCAATAACTCCCGGCACCACTTATCTACCACTTGCTTTTCTCTAATTTCGTCCAGTAAGGTGGACTGAATTTCTAACCTGGCAATCCCTCCTTGAATCACTTCAATCTGTTCTTTACACAACTCATCTATTGCTCTCTCTAACTAGTGAGTCGGGATAAATGAGCTTTTCTACTCAACGCATCAACTACGACATTAGCTTTCCCACTGATATTTAATCTCACATTCATAGTCTTTAACTACTCTAACCACCTTCTCTGTCTCATATTCAGCTCCTTCTGAGTAAAGAAATATTTCAAGCTCTTATGGGTCGGTGTAGATATGACTCTTTGCACCATAAAGATAAGCCTCCAAATTTTCAAAGCAAAGACTACTACTCGCCAAATCTAAATCTCGTAGGGTATCTTGTCTCGTACTCTTTCAATTGACGAGAAGCATATGCTATCACCCTACCTAACTGCATCAATACAGCACCCAGTCCTTGTTGAGGCATCTGCAAAAATATCATAATCTACCCCCTCCTGAGGCAATACTAAAACGGAGCTGATGTCAACTTTTTCTTTAACTCGTGAAAACTCCTTTCACAGCAGTTGACCATATAAAAGGAATTCTCTGCTTGTAAGAGCTGTAAATGGCTTAGCTAACTGGCAAACCCTGCTACGAATCCGGTAGTAGCCTGCTAGTCCCAAGAAACTTCTCACTTCTTTTATCGATTTCAGCCTGTGCCAATCAAGGATTGCCTCTACCTTACTAGGGTCCACTAAAATCCCTTCACTAGAACAGTAATGGCCTAGAAACAATACTTGATTCAACCAGAATTCACACTTGGAAAACTTAGCATACAACTTCTTTTCTCTCAATCGTTGTAGTACAAGTCTTAAATGCTCCTCATGCTCTTCTCTCGACTTAGAGTAAACCAGGATATCATCAATGAAAACCACAATGAATTGATCCAAGCAATCATGAAAGACCCGGTTCATCAAGTCCATAAAAACTGATGGGGCATTCGTCAACCCAAAGGGCATAACTACAAACTCATAATGCCCATACCTTGTACGAAAAGCAGTCTTAGCTATATCTTGCTCCACCACTTTCACTTGATGGTACCCTGACCTCAAATCAATTTTTGAGAACACTGCCGCTCCCTTTAATTGATCAAATAAATCATCTATCCGAGGTAGTGGGTACTTATTCTTCACTGTCACCTTATTCAGCTCTCTGTAGTCTATACACATCCGTAATGATCCATCTTTCTTCTTCACAAAAAGAATTGGAGCTCCCCAGGGGGAATGACTTGGTCGGATAAAACCTTTATCTAAAAGCTCTTGGAGTTGCTTCTTCAATTCTTGAAGCTCGGCTGGGGCCATTCGATAAGGGGCTCTCGATATTGGTGCTGTCCCTGGTGCTAATTCAATACTAAACTCAACCTCTCTCTCTGGAAGTAAACCCGGTAACTCTTCGTGAAACACATCCAGAAATTCTCGAACTATAGGCACCCTCTGAATTTCTGACTGAGGAACATCACCACTCTGCACTACATGTGCAATATACCCTGAACAGCCCTTTCTCAGCATCTTTCTAGCTTTCAAGCTACTAATCAACATACTTAAATAATGGCCCTCACTGAAGCTAAACTTATCTCCACTATCAAGATTAAACCTTGCTTTCTTCTTCCGACAGTCGATTTCTACTCCATACTTCCCTAGGAAATCCATCCCCAAAATCACGTCGAAATCAGGCATATCAAACACTATTAGATCAACTAACAGCTCTCTTCCATGAATCATTACAGACTCTCCTAGAAGCATCTCACGGGTCAGAACACTAATTCCATCAGGTAACTCTATCCTAATGGGTTGATCTACTACAACAGGCTTCAGATCTAATCTTTCTATCATCCCATGAGACATAAAGGAATGCGTGGCTCCAGAATCTATTAAAGCATAAAGAGAAACTGCATGAAAGAATAACTGACCAGTTACAGCTGATGGACTGGCCTTTACCTCACCCTGTGCCACGGTAAACACTCTGGCATTCGTGCCTCTAGGGGCCTGTGCTGTTGGTGGAGGAGGAGCTTTACAATCTTTCATTAGGTGCCCTGGCTGGCGACACCTATAGCAGATATTCAGACCAAACTCTTTTAAACACTCCCCCAAATGATTCTTCCCACACTTAGGGCATGGAGTGACTCCAGCCATTCTAGGCCGTTTACTCTGCCAATCGCCCCTGTTCTTCTTTGGCTGGAACCTCTTCTTGTTCCTCATGTCTCTACTTCTTCCAATCTCAACTCTTTCTTTCTGCGGAGTAGGGGGCGATTCATTCTGTACTATCATGGATGGCCCTTCTGAACTCATCTTGTTCACATAAATTTCTGCTCTCAAAGCCCAATCTAATGCTTCCATATAGGTATGCGGGGGCTCTGCTCCTATCATAACGTCACGGGCTATTTCTGACCTCAACCCGAGAACAAATTTCTCTCTTCTCAACTCGGGAGTACTCACTATCCCTGGTGCAAACCTTGCAAGAGAGTTGAATCGAACCGAATACTCTTTCACTGTACTCATCCCTTGCTTCAGGTTAATAAACTCTTGTATTTTCTCATGAACCTGGTCAACCGTTCGATACTCGGTCTCAAACACTCTTCTAAAATCTCCCCAAGTCATGGTTGCCGTGTCATGAGTCTCTTCCATTAATTCCCACCAAATTCGGGCATCAGCCCGAAATAAGAAACTAGCATAGCTGATCCTCTCTCTATCATTCATGGGAAACAGGGCCACCGTCCGCTCAACAGACTTAAACCACTCTTCAGCTTCTAACGGGTCTCTGGTACCCCTAAACTTTGGTGGCTGATGCTGACTTGCAAGCCCCTGAATCGGATCAACTCGATTCTGTACTATCTGAGGTACCGGCCCTTCTTGCTCTTGCCTTACGGGCGGTACTCTAGTAGGGGTCTCATTTCTCTCTGGTACAACTCTCCCCTGACTCTCTGTTAACACCTGCTGTACAATAGTTCGAATCATTGTCGCATCAAGGGTAAGGGGAGTTTGTTCCGGCGAGTTAGAGGGTTCTCCCTCATTCATCACACCCTTACCCTTCTTTCTATTACTACGTCTCATCTACAAAATAACCATTCTCACATCAACTTCAATAACCCATTAAGAAGAAAAGAATTTAACTTACAATGGTCGGATAAGACACGTCGTAGCGGCGAGAATGACACACTGTCCCATCCCAAAATCATTGCTCTGATACCAAAATGTAACAACTACTTTCTTTCTACCAGATTCATAAAATAGATTAATAAAAAGTATTTATCAAACAGTTGGGCCCAAAAATTTTTCTTTACTTAATAATTACAATCTTTACAAAACACAACATCATGTGTACAAAGACTTTCAAAAACGAAAACAGCGGACAGTGCAGCCAGTCTCCCCGCTTGCCGACGTCCATCTGACCAGGTCCTCACCTATTTCCTGTACAACAAAGAAAACAACGGAGTGAGCACAAAGATGCCCAATAAGTAAAAATCTCTTACTCTATCATCCCCGTGTATTACTCATTAATTCTCTTGTACTCTTATCACTTTTCTAATTCAAATTCTCATTTTTCTTTCTATCCATTCTCAATCCGGTTTCTCATAGCGGAGACCGCTCTCTCTCATAGCGGTTCACATGCATTCCGCTCTCTCATGGTGGAGACCGCTCTTTCTCATAACGGTTTACATGTATTCCGTTCTCTCATGGCGGAGACCGCTCTCTCTCATAACGGTTTACATGAGGGTAACTCCATACTCACGAGTTCCCCACCACTCAATCTATTTTCTTTTCTTTTCTGTAGCACTTAATAATCATTTTATCCTCTAGTGCTAGTTCTTTCTTTCTCTTTACTCTAAGAGAGTTGGTTCTCTTCTTTATCTCTATTCATAGAGTATTTCTTTCTCATTTCTCATATTTCTTTCTCATGTGATTACTCAATTAAACATATGGGTATGGATGGCTCATGCCTAAAATCTTTCTTATATGCATTCATGACATGCAAATATGCTATGTTGCATAAAGTAAGGTTCTTTACTTCTACTCATGCTTCTTTTAGACATTTCATCAAACATAATGTGTGCATACATAAACTCTACTCTAACTTTAATTATACTTCTTTCTTAATCATCCAAAATAAGAGTTCAACTCCTTTAAAACATTACACAACCTGCAAGGAAAACATACTTCAAATATTCCTCTCAAATTCTTCTAATTCTATCTACACTTCTACCCAACTTTAACAACACAAGCCACCCTTCTCATGGTAGAAATCCTCTCATATAAAAACATTGAATTCATCAACTCATTTCAAACATAGAAATTCAAGCATCAAGCACATATCTAAAATCTATACACATTATTCAATCAAGTAAATCACAACTTAGGTGAATTTACTTACCTTGGACACAAGTAGAATCCACTAAACCTCTCTACTTTTGATGGCTTGATGCTTTCTCTTTACCTTCAATACACAACTTAATAAGGATCCAACTCTTTCAAAAATAAAAATTACTTCTAGAGTAAGGATTCTCACCTTTTTGTGCTTAAGCTTAACTTGTAACAAAACCTAGTCAAAAGCTCTTCAAAGATCCTTGGAAATTTGAATGAAAATTTGAGAGAAATAAAGGATGAAAGAGGGGGTGGTGAAGAAGGAAGAAGAAAAGGTTTCTAAAGCTAACCCTTAATATCACATAATTTCTCCACTCTTTCCCAAAAATACCCTTACTCTTTCTTTGAAATTCCATCTAAGACCTTTCATTCTTTGCAAACACAACCCCAAACAAACTATTCTCTATGCAATTTCCTTACATTTCACTCCCCACTTTTCCTACTAAAAAGGGGTAGAAAGGTCATTGAGTCTCAAAAGGAAGAATTCTCAAAAACTCAAGGGGGACATTCAGTTGGGTCTTCGCCGCGGCGAAGCTATTTTGTTCGCCCCGGCGAAGTCTCACAGAAACTACACGGGTTGTAGCACCTTCTCATCGTCGTGGCGACGATTCTTCTTCGCCCCGGCGAAGACTGTAACCCTAAAATTTCGCCAAGTCTTGCAAATTTTCAGGAAAATCACCCAAACAAACCAAGACACCTCTTCATCCAAGGCTAACCAAATAATAACACGACCTACAGACTCGAATGAGGGTAAATCAATAAACATTCAAGCCATTCATCAAATCTTAACTACGTACCTCAAGTGGGGTGTTACATTTCAACTGCAATTCAACCCAACACCATGAACATTTACCTGATAGAGAATAAAAGATATAATAGATTTATATATGAATATCTTATATTTGCAGTATGAACATATTGACATCAGGGTAAGAAAAAACAATCTTAGGTGTTCTTCACGCCACTGCACATACTGTGATGATTGAGATTGTTCAAAGAATAGGACACTTTTCTAGTCTATCACGGAGACACTTATTCTCCCTATTTGCTCTCTGAAGATTCTCATTAAGCCTACGAATTTCCTCATTTGATTTCCTTTGAGCGTCTTGTGCGTTCAATTCTAACTTTAATCGGGTAACTTGCTCCTCCATCAATTGCTTTTCAAGCTTTCTAGTTGCCTCTATGAGCTTCAACTCAAGCTATTAAAAACATCAACGGGGACCATTAAGCCCTTAAATAACAATATAATACAAATACTGCTCGATATTATTGATTAATGAAAAGGATAAGACATTAGCTAAAACATTGACAAATTTATCAACTAGAGACCATTCCCAAGTAAAATGGCATCCCTAAATTTGATACAGTTGGAGGACCCCTGAAACCCTACAACCATTGTTAATCATATAAGAATATATGTTTGCATAGGATCTCATTGATTACCAAGATCATTCCAAGGCGTGCTATAATTTTAGACTAGCGGAAAGGGGAAATAATAGTAATAAAACAGGAAGTATAGTACAAAAATGCTTGACAATAAAGATAAAAAATTCAACATGACCAAAATACCGCTGGTACTCTTATTGCTTCTTAATTCATTGAAAGCCAGAATGCAAAAGAATATCTACAAAACCTTTATGAAAAATTCAACTAGTTATAGTCATTAAATTAGAATATGTGAAAATGTGGCTTTATAAAAGAGTTTTCTTCAATGAAATGGTAAGTTAAAGCCTCTTAAGAGGTGTATAAGAAATTTAATCTTTCTAGGGGTGGTATTCTCCATAAGTACAGGGAAATGCCACAATTGCACCTTTACCATCTTGTAAGTATACAACTTAGAATATCTGACTACAGATACACATGACAAATCAATAAATGAAGAGAGATCAACAAGATTACCATCTCACTAATTTTTTTGAGTTGATCTTCATATGATCTTTCTATTTCTGCCTTCAGCTCTGCAATTTCTTGTTTTGAATATCCCTCTAGGGAATCAACCTCCACTTGTTGTTCGTGATGTTTCATAGCCCCCTTTTGTATATCAAATAAAGACTTTTCACAACATATTTAATGTGAACTGTATGAGTAAAAAAATATATATATATATTGTGAACAAACTCACCTTCACTTCAGCAAATTTTTCATCTGTGTATGGTTGTCCACCATTCTGCGCTATGACCCTGTTAACAAGGGAGAGAAGCTCTCCAACTTGTTTAGCTCTTTTGGTTTCATCCTTAGTCTTGTTATCAAAAAGCACTGGCCGATTTTCACACAAAGAAAGAATATTCTGAAACAATGTTAATATAAATGTGAAAAATAGCTTATATTAAGCTTTTTTCAGGATTAATTAACATTTTAAGAATTGTAAAGCTTGAAGATGTTCAGCCTAGCATATATATGCTAACCAAATAAAATAGTTTGAAAACAATATTTTTCTTAAGTTAACAACACGGCTAATAAATCAAACTTAAGTTAAAAAGGAAACCTTTAAAGGATCTGGACATTCGCGACCCAAGTACTCTTCCAATGTTTCCTCATATTCTTCAAGTGCATCCCCACCGGTGAAGACTACAATCATGTAGTCTACAATTTTTCTTCCAAACAAAGACTGCAAGCTAAGTACTGCAGCTTGTTCTTCTTCTGAAAAACGGTTTGTCACTGAGAAAACTACAAGGATTGCATGGATACCATCCTTGGCCAATTTAATACATTTGACAATTTCTTTCCCAACAAATTCAGATTCAGCAGAAAAATCAAAGAGTCCTGCAACGACTCACCACATTAGTTTATTTGATGAATAAATTTCAAATACAAGATAAAAGTTGTAAACTGTGCAATCAAATCCAAGTTACTATACCAGGAGTATCAATAACATTAATGATCTGGCCATCTTTGAGTTCAGTTCTCTGCAATTCAGTTGTTTTAGTAACAGTACCAGATGAACCAGCCCTGGACTTAAAAGCTCTTCTTCCAAGAATGCTATTCCCGGTGGCACTTTTTCCATTGCCAGTACGCCCAACCAAAACCACAGTCCGCTCTCCACTGGCCACAGACCGTTCTCCACTGGATAGGGAAGGGAGCTTCCTCTCATCATTTATCACAACATCCATCGTACTTCCATCCATTATGTAAAGAGTAAATTACTTCACCTGCAATCCAAAAAACATTAAAAACACTTTCGATCAATCATTGCAACCCATGCTTTTTTTAATAATAATAAAAAAAATTGGTCTGTCTGTGAGATTACTTACTTGAGAGTCTGAGGC